CTTGCCTCTTCGCTTCTCTTCTCGCCTCTTCTCTTTCTCCCAATAGAAAGCTCGTCTCTCCCTTCTTGTAGCTTGACATTGTCGTCTCCATCCCTATAGACAGACTAAGGCTTGTCTCATCAGCACTAATCCGTGATGGAAGTAGCTGAAGCTCGATGCTACTACCAGTCGTAGCGCACGAGCCAACTAAAGGATAGAGCAAATCTGATGGTCGTTGATCAGACGGTGGGGATTGTCTTAGCAAAGGATGTCCAGGCAATATAGTACCAATGGAGAGGTCTGCGTTTTCGACGGTGGAAGCGGTTTGTGTAGTCTTTGCGGTATGTTCTTGCTGCTGCTGTAAACGGTGGCTGGAGGGTTGAGATCGGCGCATGGTGCAATTGTCTTGGTGCTCTATGAAACTCTCCACTCTAAATCAAGAAGAATATATAGTTAAAACTTAAATAGAATGCACAATTAAAGGAATATTAAAATAATTTTAAGTTAGTGGAGTTAGGTATCTTTTGGGTTTTAAATATATGATGTATGAGATGTAAGACTTCGAGTTTTGGTGTGGTATATACTTAACAATAAACTTAACAAAGTGGGATAATGAAATCTGTGATGGGGTCAACGTGAGTTCAAATATATGATCAAAACATAGTTCCAAATTATTAAATTAATTAAAAATACTTTAAATTAAACAACAGTCCAAACAAAACCTCAGCTTCCATTAGTAAGCTTTGTTTCAAGATCTGTGTGCATTATCTATACTCAAATCATGTACACGCCATACTAGAAAAAACATTCTTTGATTTACTTTAAGGATTCCAATATACACATATCTCTCATAAATATTTAAATATAATTATATAAATATCAGTATTTTGCCACTAGCTAGGGTTTCTTAATTACCTGGAGAAAACGCGGCCGCAATCGCAGGAATGGCCGCGAGTGCCACACGTTTTGAGATGAGCTTTGTAATCAGATTGAACAGCGTAGCCTTTGGAGCATCTCTCGCAGATCCATTGCTTGTGGTTACTGTGTTTCCTCCGAAAGTGTTTCTTGATTCCCACGAGATCTCCGAGGGCATGGCAAGGGTTGTGATGGAGACACGTCGGCTCCGGACAGACATAGACTCTCTTCTTCACTTCCTCGTTTGTCTCTCTCTTAAGAAGCTTCCATGGAACTTTATGACGTCTTCTATGCATCTGTAGATTCTGGTCTCTCTGAAACCCTTGGTTACAGATCTCACACACGTACCGATCCGATTCAAGTAACGTTCTTGGAGATAAAGAGACAACCTCCGCCTCTGGATCTGCCACCGCCGGAAAAAAAAATATGATTACTTTCCGGATATTGATCGAAATAACCCATTTGGAAAAAAAATCAAAACTTTATCCGAATTATAACCAAAGTCGATCATTTTCAGAAATTTACTGAAAACCCCATTTGAAAAAGAAATGAAAACTTTGATATTCGGTGCTAAATCCAAAATACAAAAATTTGAACAGAATTGGTAAACTAAAATACCTGGTGTCCCGGCGGGTCGTCGTTTCCTCTTCTGGGTCACGGCGGCTCCATTACTTTCGGGAAGAAGATCGGAGGAAGATGAAGACGGTGGATGATTCCGATGATGGTTGATGTTCTTGGTGGTGTTATTGCTTCTCTCGTAGTCTATCATCGGATGAGGTTTTTTTAAATCTCTCTTTTTGTATTTTAACTGAAGACAGTGTTGGTCTATAGTGGAAGTGTAATAGAGAAGAGTACTGTGTCTGTGACTACCGAAAAATAAGAACAAAATTGAGGAATCTTTTGTTTTTCATGAAGAGAAAGAGGGAGAGATTGTTTTTATTTTTTGTTTCCTTATTTATTTGGTGGAGAGAGTATTGTGTTTTACATCTTTACTAATAGAAGAAGAAAAGTAAGCTGAGTTAAGAGAGAGAAACAAAGGGCTTTGTTTTTCTGAAATCATCTTTTTTTTATCACATAAAGGGAAAAGCTTTTTCTACTCCCTTTACTCTCCATCTTTTTATAATTTTCTGGGAAAAAAAAAGGAAAGAAAGAGAGATGAAAACTTTCAACTTTTTGTTAATTCTATCATTGACCTCTCTCACCTTAGATGGAGAAATGCATTGTATGGTCTTTGGTGCTTCAATCTTCTTCAAAGTAGTTATGAACCTCTCTTTCTCTCTCTCCTCTCTCTCTCTGCTCTATCTGTACACTGTTTATAAACAAACACAAAACATATATATGCGGAGAGATGTTGTATACATATAAAGAGAGTGGGACAAGGAGCTTGGAGCCCACATTAGCATCTGGACAAGAAACAAAAAAACATCCCCTTCCACAACAAAACAATTTCAAAGTCATTATTATTTCATATCATACAATATTCGCTCAGATTGAGTCTAGTTTTCTCTTTTTCTTTCAAGATAAATAATAAAAAGGATTGGTGAAACAAATTAAATGGGAATCTTGGAAATTTGATGTTAGAGTACATGTTTTTAATGGTGACAAATGTATATGTAGCCTTTAGGGCTGGTTTCATATATGAAAGAGGGACATGAGAATATTTGTTTCGAAAATAAGGCACATGCATATACCCAACTCATGTTTCCGAATATATACAAATATACAATGTGATCCCATCAACTCACATATTTTATATGCCTTTTTAATATAAGAAGTAGATTGTAATCAGATATAAGTAATGTGTCCACAAGTGATGAGACTCGAATCAGAAATTCAGAACATTGCAGTGGAATTTTTCTTACAATAAACTCTTCTTATATTACACAAACACACATCCTATAGTCAGATATGGGTTTCAAGTGACAGCTGAGACCAATATCATTATCTAACACACATCTTAAACAAAAGAACAATGATAGATCTGGAATATGTTCGTAGGAATTTTCTTTCTAAAAAAAATGTCTATAAAGTGTAAGTGTATGTGTGTGTTTTTTGTAGGTATAAAATAACATATATATTAAAGTCCACCATCTCATTAAAGGGCATTTGTCTAACCAAGTGGAACTGTAAGAAAACAGAAGTAAATACAAATATTTAAAAGTTTGTTTTTTCATTTAAAAATCTAAAAAGAGAAACAAAAAGAAGATGATACTTTAATAGGAAGAGAAAGGAGAGGGTTGAGTTGGAAAGAATGGGTGGGAGGATGGGGGAGATGGATTCTCATCACATGCAATGCTTCTTTTTTTTGTAAGTTGGATATATATCAATCCTTCACAATCACATTCTTCCTTAAGATATTAGTATATAATAATCACCTCTTTTCTTTATTCAAAGAGAATATTCACTAAATAACCAGATCGTTTATTTGCAAAAATAAGAGATGAAAAAATCTAAAGCTCCATGTTTTTTTTTTCTTTCTGAAACATTTAAGATTTACCAAATAACCAGATAATTTATTTGCAAAAGTAAGAGATGAACAAAATCGTAAATAAGTTAATTATTCATCGCTCATATTTTCTTTTTTTCTGAAACATTAAAGATTCACATATGTTTGTTTGTTTTATAAATAGCACAATCTTTTTACTTCATAGCACGCTATTCATCTATATTACATCTACAAAATATACCATTTATCTAAGTTTTGTCACTGCATGCTTTTGCAATTATCAAAGTTTCTCATATGGCCCTCTAGCAAACTCAACCCTTAATTTAATTTACTACTTCCTCGGTTTTTTATATATCATATTTTAGAGATTTTTTTTCACAAATAGTTGATGCTGATGTTCTCACATTTATTTGTATGCAGAAATTAATTATATTTTTATTATTTAAACTGTTTAAATTCTATATTGTCATTTTCTATTGGTTAAATTGTTTTGAAATTAAAAATTATTTTGAAAAAATACAAAATTAATTAACTTCTTAATTTATGTGCTAATTCTTTAAACATTATATATAAAAAAACGGAGAAAATATTTATTTGACTGCAATGCAAATAAGTCAGCTCACTCACTCCCGTAATTACTTGTTAAAAGTTTGTTGACTTGTTTTTAATTTTAAACGAGTAATACTACTAAATTACACAAAACAGCAATCAAAAACAAAATAACACCCGAAGACACTTTAGTGGAGTTGTGCACTGAAACCTGAGGCATTTGTCTCGTTCGCTCTTGTTGCCATCTGAAAGTTGCAACTTGAAAAGTTAATTGACATTTTTTTGATTTCACTGAAGCCCAAAACGGATAGTAATAACTTTACGTCGCTTTATACTACAGACAATAAATGTAACTATTGTGCGTGTTCATGTTACGCGTAGCTGCTAATCACAAAAGCTGAAAACATTATCAGAAAAAAAAACATTCAGTGAAAAACGTTTACAACCTCTTATCATTATACAACATCTTTCCTTTTTATCGGTAATTTTTTTTTTCGTTTAATTTATGCCACCTATAAAATTCTATGAATCAATACTTATGCAAATGAAAACTGCCATTATATTAGGTAATTTAATAAGATCGTAGCTGAGGTATTCCATGAGATTGAGTGATATTGATGTGATAATAGAAAAGCAAGATTTAGGGGGTAAGATTAGATGCGAGATTCGTTTTAGAAAAAGAGAAGTACGAATAAAGGAGAGGAGTACAAGAAAACAAACAAAAAAAGAGTATTAGTTAATTAGGTTTAATTAAGGGGGAGTGAATAGTGATGACGACATGGGAGTTGGACCCTTTGGCTTTTTGCTTTCCAAGCAGTAATGATGAAGAAGTGAAAATTTCTATTGACAACGCACAAAGATTAGTTAAAATAAAATAGTTTATAGTTTGTTTGTATAATAATTTATAGAGAGAAAAAAGTGACTTTGTCTCTATGTCATAATCTTCATAGAAAGCATAGCCAAATCTTATGGCCACATGGACGGTGTAAGCCTTTACCCTACTCGCTACTCTCTCTATTGCCTTTACATTTTCTTCATTATTACATCTCTTGTATGTACCTTTTGTATAAACTGTCATCATTATGGTTTTGTTCATTTGTTCATAAAATAGGCTGAGCCTATTAATGCTCACGGATCTATACATACATGAACATGAACCCTACTTTAATTTTCCTTTGTCGAGAAACTAGAATGCTTTGTGATCGATGTTAAGTTGCAACTGGTTACGACATTCAATTGGTGCCAAAAGGACGAGTGGCTCGGCCAGGAACGAGACGACGAGTCTTTGTCTCCATTTAAATTTGTACTTTCTAAAATATGTGCAAATATAACTTTTTTGCAATCGATAAATATGAGCAATAATTTATATAAGGTTTTCTGCTAAAAAATTCTCTGACTAAATTATTTTTGCAGGAAAAACCTTCATCCCAAATAAATGCAAGTCAATCCCCTCAACTATAAGATCATCCGCAATACAGTTCCTTCGTGAAATAGCTGTTATATCGGTTACGAAATTAAAAACACAGCATTTTGTGTGAGCAAAAATTATGTTGTTTCGGATTTGTAATAATGCACGTGTGATTTAAAAGAAAAAAACCCCCAAAAATCATTGAGTCGATGAATTAGAGAAATTTTTAGGGTTTCGCGGCGAGGCGACATCGAAGAAGATTTGCAGCAATTCTGGTAAGTAAAACAAAACTGTGTTTCTTGGTGTGAGATTTTGTGTTCGAGAGCAAATAAAATTCGTGTTAGAAAGTAAATTTGTTCTATATGTTCGTATTTATCTCTCTCTCAGATGATGAAAGATAATCTCGTTGTTTTGAAAGATAGAAAAAATTCCAGAGTAAAACCATTGTTTGTTTTTGTTTTCAGGTAAAATATAGGGAGGACTTTCAGTTACAGTTGGCGCAGCTCTTCATCAAGATCAAGTGTGAGCTTCAGAGGTCGAAGTGAAGGACGATTCGGGATTCCCCGAAAGTGTTTGTGTGGTAGTGATGTTGTGCTTTCCACCGCCCACGCTGGAACAGACCCTGGGAGAAGACTACTGTTGCAACAGCAACATCACATTGGTAAGTTTACTTACCTTAACTTTTAAGGTTTAGCTTATATATGGTCAGATTGTAAGCTATGTAGATGTGTAGGATGGCCGCCACCACATTAGGAAGTGGTGGGGTAAAGCAATGATGGATAAAGTCAATGAAGTTATTGAGAATATGGATGCACTGTCAAATAGAATTCAAGTTGAAAGTGATGCGAATTTAAGTAACTTGAATGGTCTTGTATCTCGACCTAAAAAGGAGACACTTCCCCACAATCTCCATAAGGTTGTTGAAGAGATTGAACAGCTGAAGGAAACTTTAGGAGACCCGGATTTGGTGGAGAAGATGAAAGAGTTGGCGAAGAGGGATGCTCATGGGTCAGAGCTCCAGTTCAAGATTGCTATGGTGGTGGGTGTTGTTGTCATATTCCTGGCTTTGATTATCTGTTATATGAAGTAGAGGAGCTGTTTTAGTATTGTCAGTTTGTATGATATTATTGTATTCAAGTGTAGAGACGCTTAGTTTTGAAAACATTGAAAGGGATTTCTAAGTTAGATTATGGTTTGTAATGACTTTGTTTGTAATGAACTGATGGTTTGTAGTGACTTTATTTGTATTGAACTTATGGTTTTTTATTGAACTTATAGTTTTTAATGACTTCATAATGTTTAATATGTTATGTGTTATCCCTTTGATGCATTAGTAGTTCTCGTTAGTATCGTTAATCGATTAGTAGTTCTCAGCCTGATGATAGTAGAGACTAATGTTAGGGATTTGAAAATTCAGAATGTAAAAAAAAAATCGAAAAAGTTGGTGTTTTGAGAGACTCGAACCCGCGACGGTTTGCTATAAACCATTAGTTTTCCTTCATTTACCAATCTTACCAGGTCAATTAACTGGTTTAGAGCATTTAAAATTAGTTATATCTTTCTAATCTTTATTTGTTCACTATAACTGAGTCAAAATTGAAAGAGGAGAATTCAGGTTTTAAGTCGAGAGTAAAATACTGAAATAGAGACAAATCGAGAGCTGTGTATACCAAATTCCAGAGTAAAACCATGAGTACTTCTTCTTCTTCATCTCGTTTACCTCATCGTAGGCCTGTAACCGGAGTTCCAACGAGATGTTGGTGTGGGATGAAGCTGAGAACATATGTTTCTCAGACAGATGAGAATCCTTGTCGGCGGTTTGATAGGCTCAGGGTTCCCATTGCCTTCATGAGGAAGAAGACTCGCACTACAGGAAAGAAGGCGCGTGCGTGGGAAAAGATGTTCGATGGTAAAAGTGGCTAAGGAGCGGAGTGAAGAATGAAGGGATAGGCTCTTATTCTATGAGAGGGTCTTTAGATAATAATGTTATTAAACACAGTCGTATTACTGTTGCTTCGAGTTGTATTTAAGAACAAGTGTCCCGATTAGGGTTTCTTATTTTATGAAAGATCAAATTATTAAAGTATCTTCTTATCTTATCTCTTATATTCTCTTCTCTTCCTAATCTCTTCTTACCATTCGAGCATTTAATACATGTTAGGTCTTTGGGACTTAACAACTGGTGCTTTCATTGAGAGAAGCCGACGATGAGTTCCTTACCCACCATCGGCGAAACAGAACCTATATCTGCAGCTTCAGAACTCGAGATGAACATTCCGGAGACACCCGCTTCGGCTATCACTCTGGAACAACGTGTGGACAAAACAGAGAAGGCGATTCTCTGGATTGAGCATGCGCTACGCAGTGTCATGAGAACCTAGGCTTTCGGCGTCCCCGAGACAACTCCGACGGGGTTTATGACTCCGAATCCCAGCACGCAACTATCGATGATGATAACCCCTGGTCACAACTCTGATCGAGGCAGTGGGGAAGGGCTTTTGCCTAGACCTAGTGACTAGATCCAATTGAGAAATCAAGGACCTTTTCTGTTGTCGACGGCACGCGAACTGAGGGTGGAGGGTCCTCAAGTTCCAGTGAACCCCCAAACGACGAAAAGAGTGGAACTTCTGGTGTACGAAGGCCATAACCCCGAAGACTGGATCTTTCGCATCGAGAAGTGTTTTGCGATGAACGGGGTTGCTGAGTCAGATAAGTTGGACCACGCGGTCACTTGTCTCACAGGGCCAGCCGTGACATGGTGGAGAGGAGCACAAGAGCGTGAGCATATTGTGTTGTGGAAAGATTTTAAGGAAAAGTTTAAGATTCGGTTTAAGCAAAGCAGGCGTTGCTCTTCGGTGGACCACCTCTTCTGTATCTTCCAGAAGGGGAGCGTAGAGGAATACAGAGAAAGGTCTGAAGCCTTAGCCGTGGAGCTACCACATGTTTCAGACGATGTGCTCGAGTCGGCGTTTCTCAGGGGATTACGTAAGAGCCTGAGAAACCAAGTGGTGAGGTGTCGACCCAGCAACATGGCAGAGATTGTGAACGTCGGGAAGCTGATTGAGTCGCAAGAGGGGGATCAAACAAGCTATTTCAATCGCAATCCTCCAAGGACCCAAACGGTGCAAGTCACAAGCCTGGGTAACCGAAGTGTGGGATTCAGCTTCACCAAGGATAACAAGAAACTGACAGCCGGACAGTCGTCGAGAGGCCTGAACCCCTGCAAGTTCTACGGAGAGCAGTGGTTCCACAGCCATCATTGCAAGCAGAAGCTCAAATGTATGTAGCTCGAAGAAGAAGAAGAAGAGCCAGTTGAAGAAGTGGAGGCAGAGCAAGCAGAACCAACCACGAACGAACAGGAGGAAGAACCCCAAAAGCTGGTAACTTTGTCACTACATTCCTTGGCAGGGTTAACCATGATCAACTCGATGCTGATGAAGGGTAAGATCAAAGGTAGAGATGTGATAGTCTTCATCGACTCAGGGGCCACCAGCAACTTTATTTCGGAGTCCCTGGTGCAGCGGTTGGGGCTAACTCAGACGGATTCCAGAGGGTTTGGAGTTCGAGTGGTGGATGGACAAATCTTGAGCGGTAAAGGTCGTTGTGCTGGCATATCTCTGAATATCCAAGGCATTGAACTTGTTGAGGAGTTCCTTTGCTTTCAGTTGGGAACCACATATATAATACTCGGTTATTCTTGGTTAGCTTCCCTCGGTGACACTCGAATCAACTGGCTGCGCAGTACACGGAGCTGGAAGATTGGAGAGCTTTGGGTGACAATAGTGGGAGATCCCAACCTCAGTCGTGAGCAAATTTCTCTACAATTAATGGAGAGAGTCCTTAAGAAGAACGGTGAAGCCTTCTTAATAGAGCTTTCGTCGCTATTCTCGAACAACACACAACCAAAGGAGAAGACGCACACTCGTGAGTTGCAAGAGGTTTTGGAGATATATCTGGAAGTTTTTAGCATGCCAAAGGGCCTTCCCCCAGCTCGTAATAGAGAACATGCGATAGCACTTCAGGAAGGTGTAGGGCCGATTAACATTCGTCGCTATCGTTACTCGTTCATCCAGAAGAACAAGATTGAGAAGCTGATGCAAGAGATGCTTGACGCCAGGATCACTAGGCCAAGCGTGAGTCGGTATTAAAGCCCGGTCCTACTGGTGAAGAAAAAGGATAGTGGATGGAGGTTTTGCGTTGATTACCGTGCGCTCAACAAGGCTACAATTCCCAATCGATATCCCATTCCCATTATAGAGGTGTTGTTGGACGAGTTGAATGGCACGATAATATTCTCAAAGCTGGATTTGAAATCGGGGTATCACCAGATTCAAATGAAGTGTAGTGACGTCGAGAAGACTGCCTTCAAAACTCACCAAGTCCATTATGAGTTCTTGGTGATGCCTTTTGGCCTCACCAACGCACCCTCCACATTCCAGAGCGTCATGAATGATTTGTTCAGGCCTTATCTCCGGAGGTTTGTACTAGTATTATTTGATGATATTGTAGTGTACAACATCGACTTGACCACACACTTGAAACATCTTGAGATAGTGTTGAAGCTGATGCACCAACACCGCTTCTATGCCAATGCCAAGAAATGTAGTTTTGGGAACACTGAAGTGGCATATCTCGGGCACCGTATATCCGGTGAAGGAGTGACAACTTATCCTGAGAAGGTAGAAGCGATGTTGAAGTGGCCCACTCCGAAGACCGTGACAGAGCTATGTGGGTTCTTGGGACTTACTGGCTATTACAGGAGGTTTGTGAAGAACTACAACATCATGGCTCGACCTCTGACATAGCTCCTTAAGAAGGAGGGGTTCAAATGGTCCTCGGAAGCAGAGGAGGCCTTTAATCACCTCAAAGCAGCAGTGACTACACTGCCGGTGCTGGTACTGCCTGATTTTTCTCAACCCTTCACCATCGAGACCGATGCGTCAGGAGCAGGTATAAAAGCTGTTCTATCACAAGGGAAGAAACTTGTAGCTTTCCTGAGCCTTTTCAGTTCAAGGGAGAGTTAAGTCGGTCTACGAGCATGAATTACTGGCCATCGTGAAGGCAATAACTAAATGGAAGCATTATCTCACGGGTAGGCAGTTCAGCATCAAGACTTATCAGCGGAGCTTGTGCCACTTGCTTGATCAAAAGGCTGTTTCCTCAGTACAACAACATTGGACTGCGAAGTTGATTGGACTCAATTATAAAATTGAGTATAAATCTGGAGTGAAGAGTCGTGTAGCTGATGCCTTGTCGAGGAGACCACAGATAGAAGAGCTACAGCAGTTCACGTTGATAGCTCTTCTAAACATGGACAAGGCATTGCTCGCGGAACAGACTAAAGGTGACACCGAGTTGGGAGAGATACTGAAGAGTGTTCAAAGAGGGGAGAAGACTCACTCGAAGTATAGTACCATAGAAGGCTTATTGTACAAGCAAGGTTGTCTCAGAATGCCAGCTGGATCCTCTCTCATTCCACAGTTACTGCAGCAGTTCCACGACAGTGAAACGGGGGGTCATGAAGGGGCGCTGAAAACTTACAAGAGGCTGACACAGGAAGTTTATTGGAGAGGCATGCGTAAGGATGTGATGGAATACATACGCCGCTGTCAGGTCTGTCAGGAGAATAAGTATGCCACTCTATCTCCTGCAGGCCTGCTCTCACCACTGCCTATTCCGAAGCAAATTTGGGAGGAAATAAGCCTTGACTTTGTAGAAGGGTTACCTCTCACGAAGGGATTCAGTGTCATACTCGTGGTGGTGGATCACCTAAGTAAATATGAGCACTTTATTCCACTAAAACACCCCTTCACGGCGAGGTCGGTAGCAGATGCATTATTACGCGAAGTGGTGAAGTTATATGGGTTTCCGGTAACCTTGGTGTCAGATAGGGACAAGGTGTTTCTGAGCAATTTTTGGTCAGAGTTAATCAAAAAGCAAGGAGCTGCGTTGCACAAGAGCACCTCGTATCACCCACAAACCGACGGGCAAACTGAGGTGGTGAACCGCTGCTTGAAAACGTATCTGAGATGTTTCGCAGGGAGAAAACCGACTTCTTGGTGGCAATGGCTTCTATGGGCGGAGTATTGGTACAATACCTCTTACCATTCAGCAAGTAAGTACACTCTATTCTTTGTTGTTTATGGAAGAGAACCGCGAAAAACTCCTTCGTTACGAGGATACTCCCTCTATAAACGCTCAAGTCGAGGAGCTGTTGAAGGATCGACACAGCCTGTTGGTAGAGTTGAGGGAGAATCTCGAGTTGGCACAACAGAGAATGGTTAAAGGGGAAAATAAACACCGCCGTGATGTGGAGTTTGTTGTGGGGGAACTGGTGTATCTGAAGCTTCGACCGTATAGACAGAAGTCTGTAGCTAAGCGCATGAATGAAAAGCTAGCTCCAAGGTACTTTGGACCTTATAAGGTGAAGGAGAGAATTGGCAAGGTGGCGTATAAACTGGAATTACCGCCACACAGCAGCATTCACCCTGTGTTTCACGTCTCGCAGCTGAAGAAAGCGATAGCGGCAACGCAGCAAGCACAGGACATTCCGACAATCCTAAGCCATGCACTAGAGTGGAACACAGAACCGGAGAAGTTTCTGGATGCACGTCGATCTGCTACGGGTAATGAGACAGATGTATTGGTTCAATGGAGGGGATTACCTGAGTTTGAGTGCACTTGGGAACCACTTTTTATTTTGGCAGGACAATTCCCATCTGTTAACCTTGAGGACAAGGTTGCTTCTCTTGGGGGAGAATATTGATAGGCTCAGGGTTCCCATTGCCTTTATGAGGAAGAAGGCTCGCACTAAAAGAAGGAAGGCGGGTGCGTGGGAAAAGATGCTCGATGGTAAAAGTGGCTAAGGAGCGGAGTGAAGAATGAAGGGAGAGACTCTTATTCTATGAGAGGATATTTAGATAATAATGTTATTAAGCACAGTCGTATTACTGTTGCTTCGAGTTGTATTTAAGAACAGTGTCCCGATTAGGGTTCCTTATCTTATGAAATATCAAATTATTAAAGTATCTTCTTATCTTATCTCTTCTAGTTTCTTCTCTTCCTAATCTCTTCTTATCATTCGAGCATTTTATACTTGTTAGGTCTTTGGGACTTAACACGGTTCTATAGGTGCGAGATCGCAATGCAGGTTTTTTCTTTTAGTGCGTTATTGAAAATTAGTTTTATCACCAAATTCGATTGTGTTGTGGACTGTGAAAGCGTTCTAATGGTTGTGTAGACAAAAATGGAGTCACATCTATTTAAGTGGATAGACGAAGCTTTGATTGAGGAGACAAAAATGGTAGATGCAAAGCTGATGAGTCTAGTAGATGAAGTGAAAGAATTGAAAAATGAGATGATGAATAACTTTGAAATTACCAAAAATATGAAACAAGCAATGAATGAGAAGATGAAGGAAGAGATGAAAGTTTAGATAAAGGAAGAGATCATGATGGCGAATGTAAGGATTGAAAAGATGGCTCGAGATATACCTAAATTTAGTATGGACAGAATTGTGATGGCTGTGATGGTTGTTGGAGCAATTGGATGGGATTGTGGGAAGCTGCTATAAGTTAGTTCAAGATGGTTTGTGGGAAGCTGCTATAAGTTAGCTCGTGATGGTTTGTGGCTGTGAGGGTTGTAAGTTTTTAATGTCACTAGTCGGTTTACTTTTCTAAGTTTGTAATGTCACTTCTTCCCTTGTTACAACTCGGTTTGAAATTCTAAGTTTGTATTGTCATTTTAGATTGAAATCTAAGTATTGTCATTTTTAGCTTGAATTCTAAGTATTGTCATTTTTCGATTGAATTTTAAACAAAGTTTATCAATACAAATCAGCTAAAAATTACATATGATTCAACTTTTTCAGTTTAAAAAGATCTCAAACACGACCATAAACATCACTTAGAGTACAAAACACGACCATAGACATCACTTAGAGTACAAAACATGACCATAAACATAATTTTTTTTTTGTTTTGAAAACATCACTTAGAGTACAAAGCGTAACTTAACAGAAACTCAACATTTGATCAAGGTTGGGACGAAGATAACCAGTTTTCCACAAAGTCTCCTCCTGAGTTTCCTCGGCCTCTTCTACAGGCTCTTCCACGGGCTCTTCCACGTTCAACGAATATTTTTTTAGCTTCTCTCGCTATGTATAGTCTGTTTGGCAGGATTGTGTTATCGCTGGTGTCCCTCACAGATCTCCCAAGATGAACGTAATCATCCCCTGACTGGACACTAGTGAAGACATCGTACCCTTCCTGCAACAAGTAAATGTGAACAACAACACACCTTACCCTTCTTGCAACAAGTAAATGTGAACCACAACACAAGCTTCTATTTATAACTACTTTTGTTCAGATATAAAAAGAATTTAATCTTGGGATCTGAATAGGTCTGTTGTCATAAATCGGTTGTCGAAAAGCTTGTTATTCTGGAGGCTGTTCTGGTGGCGCACTTCCCTCCATAGGATTCTTGCGTGGTCTACCACGCTTCTTCCGTGGGAGTGCAGAGGAAAGAGAAGGGAGATCTTCAATAGGCTGAGAAGAAAACCCACCTTCTGCAGGCTGAGACGAAGAGCCACCACGTGCACGCTGAGAAGCAGAGCCACCACATGCATGCTGAGAAGCAGAGCCACGTTCTGGAGGCTGAGAAGCAGAGAAACGTTCTGTAGGCTGAGAAGAAGAGATGCACCAACACTTTCATTCCATGGCCTCCAAGAATTATTGTCAGCAGGTTGAGTATAAGGGCCATCTTTAAGACTAAGCCAATCAAGTCATGCATCAGGTGACAGAGGCCTAATCCTTCCTGCTGGTTTCTTTGGTGGCTTAGAGACAGGCTGGTTATTACACTTTGTTACATTATGTCCTCACTGGCCACAATTTAAGTAATGTTGCAGACATAAAAAAAAAGCACTCAGATATGTCTCCATAAACATAAAAAGAGATATTAAACATTAAACAAATAATCACAAGCACCATATTGATTCCTATCATGGTGCTTTTCCTAGTTTAGACTTGGATTCTCATTTCTCTCTCTTTCTCTTCTTTCCTGGAGGCGTACCCAGAGGCTTCTTATGTGGAGGTGGATTTATCCGAACATCAGTTGTAACTTTCTACAGGTTCATACAATTAACTAGTTATAAACTTCTTGCATAGCACACCCAAATCTTCTCCACCTTAAATCAATCACTGATTAACGTTTTCGGATCTTGCTCAGCCTTTCTCTCTAGCCTAAGTGCGGATGCAATATGGCAACAGGGAATACCATTAACGACATACATCCGGCAGGTACAACTTGTTTTATTCCTCAAATGGACGATGTACCTATCACTAAAGTAGCTCACTTCGTACGTTCCCATCCCGCAAGGTAATGATCTACAATTCTTACCTAGCTCTATCGGCTTCTAAAGTAACGCTACTGCTCTAGGAGTGTAGTCACCTCTGTCTTTCTCGGCTTCGAGCTTTTTCCTAATCTCTTCAAGCATTTCAACAATCGGTTTTGTCCTTGCAATTCGTATTGCTGCATTAAAATACTCTCCCAAATTGTTTTCCACTGCATCACACTTAGAGTACTCCGAGAAGAAAGTCCTACATTCAATCAAACATATGAGAAGCTATAACATATGAAACCGAATCAAACTCAACTACTGAATTGAACTATTTGCATTGACCATGGACATGCAATTGATATCTTCAATGCCGCATGCGCAGCAGGATCATACTTCTTCATCTATTTCATCTTTCGTTCAAACCTCTGTGGATAGTATGAATCGGCAGCAGCCCAGAAGAAGTCTTCTAATTCTGCACCTGAGTAATTCTTCTTCCAATAAGCATAAACAGGTCTAGCACACATCCTATGCTCAGCGAATGGCAATATCTCTTTCACGGCAGCAATCAATCCTCGATGTTGATCACTAGCTAGAGTCAATCCATTTCCTGTGTTCAAGCCCAAGTCTTCAGTCAAATGCTCTAAGAACCACATCCAATTATCTTTAGTCTCAGCATTAACAATGGCCCAATCGATTGGAAATATTTGATCGTTGGGATCTTTGCCACAAGCCACTAACAATGTTCCAGTCATTCTCCATTTCAGAAATGTCCCATCAAGATGTATGATTCTCCTACATGCTGCCTTCCATCCACTCGACATTGCAGCAAAACAAACATAGAATCTATAAATCGTGTTTTCCTCACCTCAAGTTCCACTTTCGATCCTCTATGACACCTCTTTATCTCATGAACATAGTCAAAAAGTCTTGCAAACTGCTCTGCCTGCTCTGTATCGAATGTCTTCAAGCATCTAAGACTTGTCCTCTCACATATTATCCATGGAACATTAATGTTCGTAGACAATAGTTTCTCTTGCAACTGATTGGCCGAGATATCCGGGTTTAACCTAAACTCTTCAATGTAGATATCTGCTATTCTGGCATTCGTTAGAAGAGACACCTTTCCTTGCCAAGTGCAGTTGTGCTCCTCTTGCAATGATCTTATGACAACCCGAGTTAAAAAACTGTTGATTGAAGCATACAATCTCCAAGGACACTTCCCATTTGAACAGATTGATGTGACACGTCTTCTATCTGATTGGCCGAGATATCCGGGTTTAACCTAAACTCTTCAATGTAGATATCTGCTATTCTGACATTCGTTAGAAGAGACACCTTTCCTTGCCAAGTGCAGTTGTGCTCCTCTTGCAATGATCTTATGACAACCCGAGTTAAAAAACTGTTGATTGAAGCATACAATCTCCAAGGACACTTCCCATTTGAACAGATTGATGTGACACGTCTTCTATCTGATTTCTTATATTTAATATCCTTTCTCTTCTTCACTGCGTATTTGTTCACCGCACGCTTGAAACTATCAATTGTCTTGTACTCTTGACCTATCTCAAACTTCTTATATTTGCAATCATCTATCTCATGCCTCTAATTGTGACTATCACAATCAGTATCAGTATCATTCCCACTTCCATAAACATCACCTAAATAATCAGCATTCTCTCTAATTTCTGCCTCATTACCTTTATCATCATTTTCAGACAAACCATCTTCTTCTTCAGCCAAACCATCTTCTTCTTCATCAGATAACCAGCAACTAGTAAGACCTGCTCTCCGACCTATGTAAGGATCATCTTCTCAGACAGCAAATAATGTTATCGCACCTGACCTTAGTCCGTAATGTAACACTTTCTCCATTGTCTCAGCATCATCAATATCCTATTCCTGGGCAGACGTTTCTGGTGGAAACCAAGATATCTTGCTCATGTTCTCTTCGTAGCCAATATACTAGACTATGAGCATCCGAAGCTTTGCCAAACTAAATCCTTCAGCCAAGTGTTTTCCAGCTGGATGTGCCTCTCACTAAGATACGCATCGTCGGGTGACCAATACCCTGCCAGCGTAAATGTTGAGATCGAAACTGCTTCAATGCAAATCAAATCAGAGTCAATGTTGAGAAGAAGACAATAAAATCTATTGGACACCAAAGTACAATCGAGAAATTGAACTTCAATCTTAGAGATTAGAAATTACCTCGTCTTCAATATACAATAGAAGAATTGAAGTTCTTCTCCTTCTTAGTTGATATCCAAAACCCATACAATCTACACATACGATCTCTTTAATGGAACCCAACACATATAGCATTTCACTCTCAACACTCCTTACACGCTCTCAGATTGATATCCCCTTCCCAGTTCTATGAAGACAAATTGCGACAAACCCTAAACAATTCCTTCTTCTCAATTCTCCAACATCGTTCTATTTTTTTATTACGAAAACTACACCAACTAATGCAAACTTCATATCGTTTAACTTATTTGATACGGTGCATTTTAGATTTTGTAAATGATTTCACCGACATTTAACCAAACTACTTCGATGATATAGAGAGAGACTGTATTGCGGATGACCTCATAGTTGAGAGAGTTACTTGCATTTATTTGAAGTGGGAGTTTTTCTTGCAAAAATAATTTAGTTTGAAGGTTTTTTAGCAGAAAACTCTTAATATGAATAATCAAATACTATTTTTTTTATATTAAAAGCTTTCTTAGTTCTTTATAGCATTTATGTGAAAAGTTTTTTTTAATGTTTTCTAAACCATTATGTGGTGTTTTTAATATATTTTCTTTTAAAAATAAAACATAAAAATATATATTTTAGATTAATGCTTCAGTCGTAAACATGTAGCGATTTTTAAACTTACTTTATAAAAGGTATTGTATTGATGGAGATCGGAGAGTAGTTTTACATTAAGATTAATATTTGTTTGCATGTAGTATTAAAGAACGAAAAACATTGTAGGCATGTGTTAGAAAAATTAATGGTTGGATCGAGTCTCGACCGCAAAAGTAAAAATAAAATTAATAGAGATAAGGTCTGAACTGACGAAAGGTTTAACCAACATAAGGTTCGGATTATGCGAAAAAAATAAAAAAAGTCCAACCAACGTAAGGTCGAATCCTAGCTACAAGAAGTGAAAGATCCAACCAACATAAGCTATAAATTATAAAGATATATTTTTGGATCTGATATGTCATCTAATTAATCCTAAACGAGTTAGGAGTTAAGGAAGTCCTTAAACGAAAGAAAATCCAAAGCACTAAGCACAGAAAATAATGGAGTGAAAATTCCTAGAGAACATATTTTCATCGCTCTAAAGAGTAAACACTGGAAGGTTAGAGACGGTTCATAATTACTAAATAAAGTCTTATAGAGATGATTCATATATAGAGCAATTAAGCATACTTCAACAAATTTTGATATTAATATATTGTTATTGGAAGTGGTAATGAAATGACATTTATTGATAAATAAAATATGTCTCTTGATGCTATTTTGTAGAACTGTTTCAATTCATTCTAGTTACAGTTTATCAAACAACATGTTTCAAGAAAGTATGTAACTAAAATAGTCAAATTTGTAAAAATTAGTGTGACTAAAAGTCCCCTATTTGTAATTAGAGTATAAACGGTCACATCTTTTTGTTTCGTCAGCATCCTATTAATATGGTTTATCCGTTTATGTGTCCAATCTGCTAGGACTATGGTTTTAAATTATTTTATGAGGTAAAAACTCACGGTGATCTCTAAATTTATAAATAATTCGTTTATAACAAACCATGAAAAAATTAGATAAAAAATAACATGATTGTGATTTGTGAGAATTATAGGTGTGCGTGATTCATATACCATTTCTAAACCTGATTAGAGAAAAACTGTTGTAAGAATATTCTAAAGGCTGTAAAACACAACTCGCCATGATTCAAAAGTACGGCCATTTTCCAGGTAAAAAGAGAATCTTTTGTTACAATAGAAGCAGAAGTGATGTGGATTATTCAAGAATCGAAGTCGATTTGTTTTAGAAAAAGAAGATATCAATAAACTTTTTTGAAATAGTGTAACGGGATTCAGCCAATTGTCTTGATCGTGTGATACGATTGAAAAATAGGAATCAAAAGATTTCCTGCGATTTTTTCTAGTATGAAATGAGTCAATCATCCAATTTGGTATTTTATTGAATAAAAATGTTGATATTGTTCCTCTATTAATCAAGAATTTCGATTTTTGAGAAATATTATGATCATCCAGTAAAAAAGGTTTCAATTAATTTTTTTTTTTTTAATCAACTGAGTTATCATTAAAACCACAACGGATCATAATACATGTCATAATACATGGCATAATACGGAGGTAGAATACAGATCTTGAGGAATAAGTTAACAGCCCCAAAGACACAATTAGACATAAAACACAGAGATAAGACTTTAAATCAAACCGAAGTAAACAAGAACCGGAAGGAACAAACTAACAGGATCTAGAAGTAAGAAAGAACCAGCAGAAATTACCAAATCTCGCTTAAACTTTATCCCGGCACATTTACACGAACTACACGCGACCTGCAAAGCCATGAGAACACTGCAACCAACCGTAACTTCTGTGGTAGCCACACACCAAGAGAACCCTGAGCTTGACAAAAGTGAAACCACCTCCAAGAACCACAACTCTAACCCAACCCCAGTTAACGCAGCGAAAGACTAAACTGGTAGTAGCTGCATGGAGAAACCAAGCCGGAAGACACCAACAGCAGAGAGGAGCACACAAAGAGCCATTAGGAGAACGACTACGAGTAGGTACACCATAGATAAGCACATCCGTAAAAAGGAGCTTCCACGAGTAAGAGAGGAGTCAAAGAAGCAGCACCAAACCGCACAACAACCAAGAACGAGTCACTTGCCAAGGAAGAGGAGGAGAAGCAAGATTGCAACCAACCGAGAAGACTCTGACCATACCAACTCGTAGACAAAATCGCCGAAGGAAGCAAACACCGCCCACATCACTACGACATGACCAAAATTGGAATGAAAGAAAGCTTAAACTCTATGAGAAAGTCACGAGGAAGAAAAACTAAAAAGTAGATCTCAAAAAACTAGATCCAGAAATTCTAGATCTAGATCTTCAAGAAACTACACAAAGGAAAAGAGACAAGATAAAATCCAGAAACTAAACCCAAATCCAACCGACATCAGAGCTATGAAAGCCTCCAAACGCCGGTTGGAGAACTCACAAAATCGACGGCGGAGAAATACGGCGGAAAAATACGCGGGTTTCAATTAATTCAAATGAACGATTTAAAAACCTATTGTTTCTAACAACTGATTGCAGAGTTGATCATTCAGACCTTTTAATTCATAGATGTGGATCTCAGATCTATGAATAGGGATATTCTCGAAATTCACAAAGATAAAAAGAAGTGAATTAGACAAAAAAAGAAGTAACTTAATCAAAAAAAACGAAGTAATTTAGACAAAAAAAAACGAAGATTTGTTGCTGTTGAATACTACAAGTAACAAGTCTGTAAGTAAATAACAGTGTTTTGTTCCGTATATAAAGCAGTTAGTAATAGTAAGTAAGTAATGGGGAATATGTGATCGATGCTTGTACAACATTGTGGAATATGTTTTAAGTTGTTAATATTTTCGTTTTGCTTAATCATATATATTTGGTCGGGAACGTATTATGAGAAAGTACTAGTCTCTAAAAAGTTCGAAACTTATGGTACATCCTTAAAGTCTTTGCTTTGGCCATACCATTTTATGATTGATAGCGATTTCTCATCGGCCTTATTGCTTTCTTTACAAACATTTCATATCAAAAGAAGTCAACAGATACATATACACATAGAGAAACATCATTAGCTTTCCTTAATCAAAACAAAAACAAAAGTCTAAGCATGCTTTTCAAGTGGATATATTTAAATAATTTGAAAATTCTAATTAAGAGGTTATTTATATAAACACGTCATATGTATATTTAGTAATACAAGTTTTGCTAGTTTGAATCTTATACATTACATACATGTCATGCATGTTTTATATTTTTTTGATCAACAGTTTTATAATATGAAGTATTACTTTTAAATGTTCAAAAGCTACTATGTTATTTACTAAATATGTCATCATATGCTAAAATGTTAGACACAAAATTTTGGTCTAAGCTTCAAAATAAAACACTGGTCCAGAATATTACTAATAAGTTTAAAACAAAATTAAAAAATGGAAAACCTGTTACATACAAAATTTTGGCTAAAAATATTTTAAAATTTATTGTAATTTGTGAAGAAAAAAATGAAGTTAATATTAATAATAACTAATAAAATATGTCAAAAATGCATACACGTTTTTTTTAATTATACACGTGTTATTTTATGTTGACCCAATATATTGAATTCAGATACAATAACAAATTACTTGAAATATCTGACCCAATTTTTCTTATCTCTACTATACAAATACATAATATAAGAACCAAAAATATTTTTAAATTTTTAAATTTGCACTTAGCCCAGGTCCAAAATCTAGTTCAAAATTATTTAGAAATCCTAACTAGTCTACATATATAAATGTAGTCGCGCAATAATCTTTCCGTCTTAATTAATATTCAAAATATGCATGGTAAATGAAACTGAGAAAAAGTGAACAAACTAATCATTATTTTTAGAAAATTCCTCCTGATAAACTGTAAAATATAGTTAAAATCTGAAATGAATATTTTGAATGTATGAAATTTGAGATTTATGGCTTTTGAAGCCAAGCCTTCCTCCTCATTGCATCTTACATCAGAATATCAGATTAACACGCCTTCTTTTTTTTTGGCCTTTCATATTTATAAATTGAATAGATAAAACAATATACAAAAGGGTTGATATTTGTTTGTTTGATACCAATATTTTGAAATCCGACCTGGAAAGCAAATCGAAATGTTTATCGAGTCATTGGGTTTCTGGGCTTATCTGGATTGATCTCAGTCAACTGCGAGTTAACTAATTAATGATATTTTATATATTATATATAATATATAATTTTAAAAATAGGAAAATAAATTTAAATATAAAAATATAACATAAACTATTATTATTAAATATAAAAAATATAACGTAGATTGTTCAAAACATAACATAAGCAGCTAAAAAAAAATTTAATATTGATACAAATTACAAACTAAATGTCACAAAGTAACAAAAACCTATAATTTAATTAGGAATTATTTATATTAAAATGATTTTTTAATTAAAAAAATAAAATTACTGATTTAACCGGATCAACGGATCACTGAATTACGGAATATTCGCGGGTTTTTCAGGATTTTATCGAATTAATATATTTTAGAATTGAAGAGTAGAACCGATCCGGATGAGTGACCGGGTCCCGGTTTAACCAGGCAAACCGGCCGGTCCGGGTCAGGTTTCAAACATTGAACTGTATACAAATATGTGGAATGCTCTTCGAACCCAAGCTTTGATACATCGAAAGGAAATACTAGGCCTGATACAGAAAACCCAAAGTCACAGGCCCATCTACCCATGATTTCATCTTTAATATTCTTTTACATCAAAGACCATATTTGTGAAAAGACCATTTAGCAAAGGTAAAAAATACTTTAAACCAAAACAACGTAGTTTTCGCCTTTGCCAGAAACAATAATATTGCTATAGACAAAGATTTTCACGAGTTTAAGCAGACACGATTTTTTGAATTCAAAACATCTTCGATTTGTCGTTGACGAATTTGAAGAATCGTCCATATTTAGTCTGGACTGCTTTATTAAAGTAACAATCCGTCTATGACTTAGTTTCATAAGTTTATCATTGCTTGTCATGGCAGTGACATTTTCTCTGCCTTTGTATATTGATTCATGCATCTTATTTCCGCACACTACATCGTCCATTCTCTTTATCTCAATGTAGCTTTCAGACAGATTGTTCATACTTTAATTAATGTTATTAGCATAATCATAAAAGTCATGTATATGTATCATAAAAAAAACATTTGCATATCATATCATCATATATATGAAGCTTGGCTAAATTTCTCCGGAGCCACAAATTAAACGCTTATTCGTGTCTACCATTTGAAACTATTAAACTTTTAAAAAGGCAAAAATAGAAAATCATTCCTCATTTGTAAGAGTCCTGATTTAATTTATATATGATAACTTTCTTATTTTTGTCCTACTTTCCCTCATCAAACATGGTTATTAAAATTATAACATACCACATTTCCTAATCATAAAGAGAATAAATTACAAATTCATCGCAAGTTATTAGATCATTTCTTCGTTAATCTTTTCTAGACAATCTCACGCATTTGAACAACTAGATCTATCTGTAAACAGAAAAAATAGAAACTTTTTTTAAATAACCAAAATAAAATTTTTGTTTTGTAGTAATATAGTAATGTATAATTAATTGTATTATAGATCCCGCCCATACAGGATTTGTTTTGCATTTTGTTTTGAAAATTACACGCCGCGTGGGATTTTATATCTATTAATAACATGATATTTTTTCTAATATTAATAAATGTATTGAAGAACCCACAAAAATAAAGAGTATATACATATCTGTATATCAGTATATGTATCTTAAAATTACTAAAAGAGTATCATTCTCATCCTTTCTACCATCTCCTCACCGTTCCTTCCCTTCTCTCTCTGAAAGGAAAAAAAAATAATCGAAAAGATCCATTTCACCATCCTCGGTAAGTTTCCTCTCTCCCATTCGATAAATATTTTGAATTTTGTACTCTTCCCTTTCTCTTATTCTCCATTGTCGACGTATATCTCTTTTTACTCATTATATCCCTCTGTTCATATACTTTCTTCTGTACCTGCAAAAATGTTAGATTGCTGCGAAACCCTAATAAATCCTGTCGACGAATGTTACGAAAACTCTGCTCTTTTGTTGTTCGAAGCCTTGAATTTGGTTAGCTTTTCACTTGGGGGGTTCCAATTTAAGAACTTTGGATTTCATTTTTCTCGCGCAAGACCTAAGCCCTTTTAAGAAAGTTGTGTTCTTTTTGGAAATTTCGAGGATTGTTGATTGAAAACTATCTTATAATTCGAATGTTATAACTTGGAATACAGATGATTTAGATTCTAAATTGCGGAACCCAGATGAAAAGTCTACATCTTTTGACCAAAAAAGAGTGTGTGTGTTTGATTTGCAGAAGGTTTCTATTATGATGGATGATAATGGATTGAGCAATCGAAATTGGGGATATTACGAGGCGTCTCAGTTCAGGCCGAATCTAGGGTTTCAGTTAATACCAAACACCATAGACCGAAACGAGAAGCCATATCTCTGCCCTCAGACTCCAAACTTCATAACCCCAAACAATGGTTATCGTGGCGGTAGCAGCAGCAGCAATGGCAATGCCATGTCTTTTCCTCGCGATTACTCTGTCTCAGAAGCACCATTCATGAGCTATAGCTGGTTAAACCAGCACAGAGACAGCAAGTTCTTCAACAACTTACCTAGTAATAATCCTTCAAATCATCATCACACCCTTCTTGTTCCAGACACTTCAAGGTCTCAGCCAATGCAGTTTCTCCAGATTCCTAAACCCGAGCTGGGTTGCGAGGTCGATGAGTCTCTCAAGAGAAGGCAATGCGGCGGTGGGGAAGCGGAGAGAGGCGCTCCCAAGGCGAAGAAAGAGAGGAAGCTGAAAGACAATAGTATGCGAAACGAGAGAAGTCCTTTGAGGAAGAGCATAGAGATGGTTGTAAACGGCGTCTCTATGGATATCGGATGTTTGCCGGTTCCGGTTTGCTCGTGTACCGGGATGGCTCAGCCGTGTTACCGGTGGGGTTGTGGTGGATGGCAGTCTGCTTGCTGTACGACCAACGTCTCGATGCATCCTTTGCCGATGAGTACCAAAAGGCGCGGCGCTAGGATCGCCGGGAGGAAGATGAGCCAAGGCGCATTTAGGAAAGTTCTTGAGAAACTCTCTGCTGATGGTTTCGATTTCTCGAATTCTATCGATTTGAAGTCTCATTGGGCAAAACATGGAACCAATAAGTTTGTCACCATCAGATGATACAAACTCAAAAAAAACCTCTCCCTTTGTGTCAAAAATATCCTTTTTTTTTTGTTTCAAATTTTGTTGAGGCTTCTGAACTCGGAATCAAACTCGGTATGTATCTCAAAATGTTACCTTTTTTTTTGAATTTACTCAAGATACTGGTAAAAATTGTGTTTATGTACAGAACCAGAACCAGGGGAAAGATAAATTTGGAATCTTTCTCAATCCAGATTGTTTGTTATGTTCACTAGAACGTAATCAAATCTGGCATTGAGTACTCGATGTAAACTGGTTGTGGGTTCGATACTATAGGAGGCAGATGATTTTGATATTCTTGAATCGCCTTTTCGTTGAAGTAGTAATAGTCGTCTTCTTCTTCGAAAGTTTCCCATTTCTCTGTGATGATCGTCTGCGACTTCGGTGTCTCCAACACTACCATAGCTTTCTTCTCATCTTCTTCTTCTTCTTCGTCTTTCTTCGGTTTGTTTTCTTCGACCGTTTTCTCGATTGCTTCTACTTCCGCTTTCGGAATACTGACGAATTGAGGCGTATCTTTCGCGTTGGAGACGCCGAAGCCTTTGCAGAAGTCGAAAAAGAGAGCGAGGTCTTCTCCCTGAGATTTTGCCTTGTTGATGATCTTCAGAGCCGTGGCGGCGTTTGTTTTGCCAGCGCTTGGAAGGATTTTGATGACGCCGCTGCATATTCTACCGTAGATGTTGATACTCTCGACCACGATGCAATCCATGGCTTCTAGGATCAGCGTCCTCTTCATGTTATCAGCGATCGGCCTGATCTGAAGAATCAAATCGAGGAGAGACTGGAGTTTCTGGATCCTGTCGAGCTCTTGATTCACGGAATCGGCTTTCTCCAGCCTTCGATTCCCGCGGTGGCGTTGGATTTGATCGGATAAGAAGGATGAGTAGTTATGGAGGAAAGCGAAGTAGGCTCTGACGAAGATGTTGAATCCCCAGGTTTTGCTGAGGCACGAGTGCCCGTCGCAGAAATCGGAGAGGTCGAAAGGAAGACGGCGGATCTCTCCGACGACGGAAGGGACCTTGCAGGAGAGAACGCCGTGGAGAAGCATTAGGGATTTGAGCGCGACGATCCAGCTGCGCGTGTGGTTCACGCGGGAGGAGACGGCGTGGATTAGAGTCTTGAGGTTGAGAGGAGAGGCTCGGATCCATTTGTAGACGCGGTGGGCGTTGGAATAGTCGACGGAGGAGTCGTCGTGGGAGGTGGCTTTGATGATAGCTGCTTCGAGATCCGCGTTCCGGTATGAGGTTCGCCGTGAGAATCCGACGGCTAATAAGCTTTTCCGGTCTTTGATTGCGGCGGCAGCTCGTTTCCACAGCTTCATCCTCAACCTCTCCCTTCCTCCTCCTCTATCTCTCTATTTTAGCCTCTCTCTCTCTCTCTCTGTCTGTCTCTGAACCTTTCTTCTTCCTCGAGAAGAAGAGCTCATCTCTGTAAATGTTCCCTCTCTATTTTGAGTTCTCTACTCCTTTACCATCCGTTACACCGTTGTAACCGCTCCTTTTAAAAAAAACTAATTTGTTTTTAAAATAAAAAGGAAAAATTAAATAAAAGCTGGCACGTGTGATCTGTTTGCTTTACGTTCCATACGTGCATCTCTGTTAACCGAACCAAAATCGTTTTAAATGCCTGATTTGGTTTATCCGAATAAATTATAAACGGAAGTAGAAACAAACCGGGTTGGTTTTGTATCTTCTTCAGTGATGAGTTGTCATAACAAGTTCTTTGATCAATTTTTAAATACAACCGTATTTGATTTTTATACTCTGTAGTTCGAGAAGAAAACAAAAACTCAAAACCAAAAACCGAACCGTAACCGGATTGTACGCCCTTGCTATCAATCTCTGGTTATAAACGTAAATGAGTTTCAGTTTGTGTTATATAAAACTGTGTAATTTGAGTTCAGAAGTTACAAAAATCAAATGTTCCGAGAGATCATTCAAGAAGAGAGATGACAAGAGCAACACTCATGCCAAGAATCAACGATATCAAATGGCACGCACTGCTTCTAAGTGTCGATTTTCCAGAATTGTTCATCTCAGCAAGAACACCAGCAACAGCTATGTATATGAATCCTCCCGCTGTGAATCCCTACAAAAGATTTCAATCACCAACCAAAACATGAAAAAAAAAACATTTAGATGTTACTAGACCGAATGCAATATATGTCATTTTTTACTACCTCAATCAACGAGGACTGTCCCGGTTCATTTCCCCAGACCAAAACCTGTGATGGAGAGTAGGAACCAGAGTTACTTCCGTTTCAATATTCTAGAGATCTGTAAAGATATATATAAATGACTTACCAATGCAGTTCCTGCAAGTGCGACGAGTGCAGAGAGGAAGTTGAAGAAGAGTGCTTTTGTTACGGTGAAGCCTGACCTCACAAGAATACCGAAATCACCAATCTGCAAGTATTGTTCCCGTTGGATTATATTTGGTTAAGTGACTGTTTGTTGCTATGAACATTTTCAAAGTTTTTTTTTATGGAAAGACGAGTAGTGACCTCTTGGGGAAGCTCATGAGCTAGTAGGAACATAGTTCTTGACCATCCACCAACTGATCCGTAGATGAGAAACGCACTTCCTAACGCCATTCCATCAGTAAAATTGTGCTGCGCAACCAAAAAAAAAAAAAATTTGGGAAACAGATTCTCATCTTTAATTGATGAAGCATCTCTTTCATCGAAAGCTATTTCTTTAGTAAATGACAAAAGGAGCACGTACTTACAACACCATCAGAGAACAAGTTGAGGTAACCAAAGACTAGGCTTGAATGCGTCTCCACATGTTCTGTTTTTTCCAATTTTCCATCAGATGTAGTTTCTGCGACTGAATCTGATTTCTTATCAGCAGCATCACCTGCAGAAGTCTTTCTCTGCAAGGAACAAACAGTTCATAATACAGTGAATGTTTGCATATAACAGAAGAAACGGAACCTTGTAGTAGACAAGGTGGAAAGATTAAGTAATGCTAAACCTAAGCCAGAGACTGAAGCTCTACCGAAACTAATGTGTTCCATGTTCTGTTCTTTGCTTACTTCTTGAATTTCAACTAAAAAACTCATCTACCACAACATATGAAAAGCCGGTTCTCACCTTACGGAGAGATCCATCCTTAGAGTCGCTAGATACTTTCTCTGATGAATCTACGTTGTTATGATCGTCTTCATCCTTCAGTTTCTTACTGCCTGCATGGTGGTGGTGATGATGATGGCCCCAAGTATTGAACCCAGACGAGTTTTCTTCGACGTACCGCACCAACTTCTCCACAAGAAGGAAGACCACAATCCCAGCTGGATAAATCAAGAATGATGTTTGAATTAGAGTGTAAGATCTGTCAAACTATTTTGTCCAACAAACACAAACACAAGAACAAAGTGTTTTGAAACTTACCGAGAACAGACAACCCCACCGACAGATCTTGTATAGAATGTGCGTGTGATGGCGAATCCGAATGAGAATGATCATGATCATGATGGTCATGGCTCTCATGAGAGTGAGCGTGACCACCACCTGATTCACAATAGTTTATGGACTTCAGAAGATATCTCTTGGTAAAGCCAATTCATGGTAAATAAGAAGGTTTAAAGACAAGTTCATGAAACAATGCAGATACAAAAAAAGAGATGAGATCATTGTGTGACATCACTGTACCAAAAGCATGAGGCAATTGGTGAAGAAAAGCATCTCCCAACATAGCTCCTGCCTGGTAACCAAATAAATAGAAACAATCAGAACTATTTGAAGTAGCAAAATCAAATATTTTTATGAATTCCGAAACACCAACGCCAAAGAAACGCTAACGCAACAAGAAAAAAAGAAAAAAAATGACTTACCCCAAAGAGAGCCAACGCATCAACAAACCATTTTGATGGCTTCCCATGAACTGTGAATTACAGCTAAAGACTTAAGCAGATACTCTTATGAACACATTATAGCACATGAATAAACCAAAGATGCAATCTTTTTTGTGGTTTCATAGTATCTGCAGAGATTTTGCTTACCAAACATAACTGGCAGCAAAACCAAACAGATGAGTGAAGCCAAGCTAACCAAAAGAGAGCATCCCAATGCATTAAGCCACAATGCTGCAAAGAAAGAAGAAGAGCAGAATTCTAAATTATCACCAAAAGAATTTTCATTCACTCGAGACAGATTGCCCATTTTCTAAAATCATAATTCATCTACGGAATTTGTAAAATTCAGTGAATCAATTACCAAATCCGGTAAGAGTAGAACTTGATTCGTGATCGTGATCGTGATGGTGATGAAGACAGGGCCCAAACCCACACAGCCTCATATCCTCTTCCTCGGCGAGCTCCTCGGGCAGCTTCATCCTTACCGGCTCCGTCTTCACATGGTGATCGTGGTCGTGATCGTGCGAATGACTACACCCACCACCGTGATGATGAGCGTGATCCTCACGCGCCGGCGTTGACTGAGAGAACCCGGATTCTACGCACAGATCCAGAAACAGCCCCAGAGTCAGAAACGGGACCACGACGGCTCTCAGCGAGAACGACATCTCTGACCTTTAAGGAAAGAGTTTTCCGTCAAAATGCAGAGCTACGAAGGGCGGCGATTGTTGAAGCAGGTGCCTTCAATGGTGATGAAGCAGACGATGCAGAAGAAGAGAATGATGATTCCGACTATGATTCCGAAAGTGACCACATCCATTTTGTAGTAAACCTTGAAAAATCTTTCGTTCTTAATTTAAAGTTTGTAGTTTTGGCCCAGTGTTTTAAAATTGTATAGAAAAACCCCTTGTTCTGGGAATCTCACTGGAAGACTCGTTGACTCTCGGGTTAAACCTTCTGGATGATTTGGAAGGTCTCGACTTCTCTAATGAACTCTACCTCTCCAATTCTAAATAAACCATGGTTTTGGTTTAACTCGAATACATATGAATATACGAAACATAAATTCATATTGAAGCATCCATCGTCACACTTACTTGGACGAAACAAGGGATTCACCTCCTAAAACCAAGGTCTAATGTCCACTTCTTTTTGCATATTTCAAGGCAAAACACAATCTCCTCTAAACTATTACAAATCACAACCACCAACAAAAAAAACAAAAACCAAAAACCATAACAAGATCAAGAAAATACATTAAAAAAAAAAGAAAGGCAAACAAGAAACGAAGAAGAACGATCTGGATTTGAACAATATCTTCTTTACAGAGGAATGAAGAAAAAAAAATGGCAACAACGAAAATACCAATGACGGTGCCTTCTCCTCGAGTCGATGCGGACCAGCTTTTTAAGGCCTTCAAAGGTATTCGCTTTTAATAGTTATATAACTTAATTGGTTAAATTACATTTAAATCAAAATCTTGATGGATTCTGCAGGAAGAGGCTGCGATACTTCGGTGATCATCAACATCTTAGCTCATCGCAATGAAACGCAACGAGCTCTCATCGAACAAGAATACGAAACCAAATTCTCAGACGACCTTCGTAAACGTCTCCAATCCGAGCTTCACGGCCATCTCAAAGTAAAATATAATACAAGTCTTGCAAGAAACGTTATTATTCATTCTAGAAATATGATTTTAGACACAACATTTTTAAAAAACGTATTTTTTCGTATTTCAGAAAGCTGTTCTTCTATGGATGCCTGAAGCAGTGGAGCGAGACGCTTCGATACTGAAACACGCATTGAGAGGAGCCGTGACTGATCACAAAGCGGTCGCCGAGATTATATGTACAAGATCTGGCTCTCAGCTTCGTCAGATCAAACAGGTTTACTTCAACACTTTCGGTGTCAAACTCGAACAAGACGTTGAATCTGAAGCTTCCGGCAATCACAAAAGAGTATATATGTCTCTTTAATCTCTATATGATCGAGTTAATATTAGACATTGACATTTTTAATATCTATGTAACAGGTTTTGCTCGCGTATTTGAACACTACGCGATATGAAGGACCAGAGATCGATAACAAGATCGTGGAGAATGACGCTAGGGTTCTCAAGAAAGCGGTCGCGAGGAAGCATAAATCCGATGACCAGACGTTGATTCAGATTTTCACAGACCGAAGCAGGACTCATTTGGTCGCTGTTAGATCTACTTACCGTTCCATGTACGGCAAAGAACTTGGAAAGGTATAATCAAGAATCAGAAACTTCTTATCCAAGAAACCCTACATAGTACTTCATACTGATGATAAATTTTCTTCAATCTTGATAGGCGATAAGGGATGAGACTCGCGGGAACTTCGAGCACGTTCTTTTGACGATTCTACAATGCGCTGAGAACTCTTCTTTCTACTTCGCAAAGGTAAAACCTAATCTCATGTTTCTTAAACCGCAAGGCAAATGTTTTTTTAGGGCTTAGTGTTTATTACATGAAAACTAAAACCGCAGGCGCTGAGAAAGTCGATGAAAGGGTTAGGAACAGATGACACGGCGTTGATAAGAATTGTGGTGACAAGAGCAGAGGTGGATATGCACTACATCATTTCGGAGTATCGCAAGAGATACAAGAAGACTTTGTACAATGCTGTTCATTCTGATACAACTGGTCATTACAGAACTTTCCTCCTCTCTCTCCTAGGCCCCAACGTTTGATCTTAGTTATATACACTATACCAAAACATTCACATTGATTCTTGATGTGTTTTTATGTATATGTATTCTTGTAACAATCTTGAAGGGTGAATATAATATGTTTATATGTAAGTTTCAATCAAAAAGGGAGGGAGAGCAGAGGCAATTAGAACTGGAAAAAGCCAGAAAGACCCGATAAATCAAATAAAGAACAAGTGAGAACTTGAGAAAGCTATGTTTTGCAGACAAGAGTAATCACTTTAAGGTTGTTAAACTACGTAATTCATGAGTAACTCAAAATAAATTTTCTAACCGGATTCGACTTTGTGTATAGTTTGATAAGTTTTCCATTGAGGCAAAGATGATAATAGCATCTTGAGTAGCTTACAAGTATACTCTTCCCAAGAGAGAATCGCCGGCGATATATCCGTCAAGTCAAGTGACTCCTTCCGATCTCCATTAGAGCATGAATATCCCAAAACTGTGCTTACGAGTCCCAAGTCTGGCAAGAAAACTGATTTCAGGGCATTGATAGTTTCCAGCTGATCTTGAGAGATAGCTTTCACCTCTTCCACGGTGTCATCTTCGACCTTCGAGATTTCGACTTCAGAAGCTTTCCAATGGTAGAACTGAACAACCTGTCATCCAACAAATGAGAAAGAAAGTAGAAACCATTTGATTATGTATGACAAAGAGAAAGTACCTGAAGAGCATGAAGAATGTTTGTGAATTCTCTGGTGAGCAACTCTCCTCCTTTAGCTATTTGTAGTGGCCCCATGAGTTGCTCAGAGGCATCCGAGGAAGAACGGCCTTCATCTTGTAAGCTATGTACATCGAAACCAAGAAGACGCAACCTCGCAACGCAGATATCAAAACCTATCATCTCATCAGCCTCTTGATGAGGACAGAACCAGTACATGTTAGAAGAAGCAGGCAAAGGAAGGGGAAATCCAAGTGGCTCGCACTGAGAAAGACGAGAAACAAGCTTGGAATCCTCGTCATGAGACGAATCCCGGCTAAACCACATTGCAAGAGTCAATCTTTCTCCATCTGTTACCTGTGAGAGCATCCATTAAGTTTACTTACATTTCTACATGGATGACACAAAGAAGGCAAGCTACATCAACAGAGACGAACCTCGTCAACGGAATGAATGTTCCGGTCATCGGCTGTGTACATGATAACATCCTGGTCAAGACACACCAAACTCATGATGATTCAACTAAGAATCTTGAAGTTAGAAACCATTGAGCCATCCATACTTACTCCAGCAGAAGGAGCAACTGTTGCTGGTTCACCGCTCTGGAAACGAAAAAGCCCGCCTTTGAAGTCTTTATCGTAGCTATTCAAGTAACAAACTGCCTTCAAAGCAACTTAAAACCCAAAGTCATTACACATGAATCTACATATATATAGAACCTGCAGATTCGAGTGAAGACGAACCGCGAAATCTCTTTGTTTCAGATATTGTCTGTTATCATCACTGTGCCACCCAATGCTAGCTCCTCTACACCAGCTAATCTCAAAACCAAAGGAAAAAAAAAGAAAAAAAAAATCATTCTTTTGATGACTTCTCTGTTCAATAAGGAGAGAGACGAAACTACTAGATTACCTAATTAAACCTGTGAATTCGATAAAAAGCTCATACTCACACCCAAATGTTTCCTCAATTTTCTCTTTCAACCTTTCTGTATAACTCAAAACACAATCCAATCATCAGTATAGACTGAAACTCGCACTGAATCTGTAAGAATCTAAAGAGAAGCTGAGGATATTGACCTCGAATGGAGACGAAAGGGATGATGAGGTGAGGAGAATTGGTGGCGATGAGGTGAGAGAGAGTGGTGGAGAAGACGTTTGGTCTGTACCCAATCGTACTGCAACTCTTGTGTATGAACTCCAGCTCCTTACACTCTTCCGGCGAGATGAAATCGTGCAGAATCAGCCTCGGATGCTCTCTGTTTACCTCCGACATCTCTCTCCGTTTCCGATCACGAAATCCAAATCCGAATCGGAGAAACTATATCGGCGGTGAAGAAACAAATTGGGGAGAAGATGACAAAGACTCTAAATCAAGGAGAAGGTTCTTAACTAACAAAACGTCGCGTTTTGACTATCTAAATGTCACCAATCCTATGATCCAACACATTTGTGAATCACCGATTCACCAAATGGTCCAAATGCTTTTTTTGTCAACAACCAAATCATTTTTCTTTTTATCTACAGAAAATTGGAGAATACACAGAGAAGAGCTAAAAAAGCTTTGACCTTAGTGGAGTGGTGGGTACGAAGAAAGCAAACCCTAGATTGAATCTTACTCTCTCTTTCTCTCTCAACCTCGGATTCGACGATGTCTTCTTCTTCACCTCAATCTCCTTCCGGTTCACCAACCATGTCTGATTCAAGCACGCCGCTCCTCGGCTCGCGTCAAGGCTCGCGGCAAGGCTCGCGGCGACGTCAGCAGCCTGTAATCGCTGTCCTGTTAGGCCGAGCTTCGGGTCGGCGAGGAGCTTCGATGGTCGTCAGAGAGACGGCGGCGCAGGAGCTTGAAGAACGACGAGCCGATTGGGGATACTCGAAGCCTGTCGTGGCTCTTGATATGCTCTGGAACACTGCCTTTGTGGTTGTCGCTGTGGTGATGCTCTTGATTTCCAAGGAGGAGAATCCGAACGTGCCGATTAGGATTTGGATCTGTGGGTACGCGCTTCAGTGTCTTGTTCATGTGGTGCTTGTGTGGTTGGAGTTTAGGAAGAGGAACGCGAGCCGTCGAGGTGCGGATTTGGAAGCTGGGGAAGGTTCTGGTAATGGGAATAGCCATGATAGCGACGATGATGATGGTGATGAGAGGATCCTCAGGTTAGCTTCCTGCTTCTCCAATCCGCAAACATTATTTTGTAGATAAATCAGATTTCTTCTCGTTTGTTGAAATTGGTTCAGCTTTAGTTTGTGATTATGGGTTTTTTTTAAGTCTTAGCATCATTGCTTGCTATCATGATTACTATGAAGAGTACTTTTAGCTTGGGAAAGCATGAAAATGATTAGTCCATTGTCAAAGGTTATCACTTTCCTGTTGTACTAGATCCTATGAAGAACCATATTCTGCTTTCGTTTCATCAATTTTGTTAACAAGGAAAGTAGTGTAAAGAGAAGAGCCATCGTTTCCATAATCTTTACTGTCTCGTCAATTTCTTGTTCTTGAGCCAACATTGTTTATTAATGGTTTTCACAATGAATTTCTCAGCACAAAGACTTGCGAATCAATGAACACCATAATATCATTCGTCTGGTGGATCGTTGGCTTCTACTGGCTTATATCTGGTGGTGATATCCTTCTGGAAAATGCATCGCATTTGTACTGGTATGTGTTGATGATACGCTCGATGTTTCTTACTGCAAAACTCACATCATCATTGTGATCTTTATACGTTTTCCTTTTTCTTGCTGTGTATGGCAATGACGACATCATAATTTTTAAATGCTTGTAGGTTGACTTTTGTTTTCCTAGCATTTGATGTGTTCTTCGCCGTCTTCTGCGTTGTGCTGGCTTGTCTTATCGGAATCGCACTCTGTTGCTGCCTCCCTTGTATCATTGCTCTTCTTTACGCCGTTGCCGGACAGGTTTGTGCTTAAAATAAACACAGTAACCCCTTTTGACTTGCATTTGAAAGAAATGAAATCAAGTCAACACCCGTTTATATTGTGTTTCAGGAGGGTGCATCAGAAGCAGATCTCAGCATCCTTCCCAAGTACAAGTTTCAGATGATGAACAATGGTGAAAAGCAAACTGATGGTGGCGGGAAAATGATACCTATCGAGGCAGGTGCTGAGTACTCGGGAAACGAACGTGTGCTTCTTCCTGAAGATGCTGTAAGTTGTTATTTCCGAAAGAGATTGAAATTGAAATTATCAGAGCTTTCTATAATGGTTTTTTTTTGTGTGTGTGTAGGACTGTTGTATATGTCTGAGTTCTTATGAAGATGGAACAGAGGTGGTCGCACTTCCTTGCAACCACCACTTTCATTCCACTTGTATCGTGAAATGGCTGAAGATGAACGCGACATGTCCGTTGTGCAAGTTCAATATTCTCAAAGGTAATGAACAAGAATGAAGTAGAGAAGAGATGAAAAAACCTTTCATCTGTTAACTTTTTTTCTTTGGTTCGTGTTTTTTTCCCCTTCTTATGTTGTATAGAGAGAGTAGAGTAACAGAGAAATGATTTGTGTCAGTTTCTTAATTATATAAGCCGTAAGATATAAATTGTGACTTTTGTTGTCATTCCCTTGATTTTATCAAATATTATATATATTCGTCCCCCAATAAAAGAAGTATATTCGTCATGTAGAAAATTTAATTTATCTCTAAATTACGTAATACATTATATATGACTAGTTTTGAAAGGTTATTTTGGTGGCAACGATTTTCAAAATATTTTAGATTTCCTTTCAATTTTAATGGAGTTATATTAAAATAGAAATTTTTATCAAAGTATATTCGTCATAGAGCTAACAAATAGAAAATGTAATTTATTTCTAAATTTCGTAATTCATTGTATATGTAATTTTAAACCGTATATGACTAGTTTTGAAAACTTTGAAAACACTACTACTAACTCTATAAAAAGTTACTCTGCTATGGTGGCAACGTTTTTCAAAATAATTTAGATTTCCATTCAATTTTTAATGGAGTTTTATTAATAGAAAGAAAAGTAATCAAATGTAAGATCTAAAAAGAGAAAAAAAATACATTATTATTAATTATTATCATCTCTTGAAAAGAAACAAAAACAAAGAGATCAAGACATTAAGACAATAGACATTGAACACGTAGTTGACAAAAAAAAGAGACAGATTACACGTTCCCCTCCTTTCACGCGCAAAGAATCTCTTTGACTAATCACGGCCTTTTCTTCACTAATCACATCACTAAACAACCAAGACAATTTAACATCCACCGATATGTATATATCAACCATTTTACTATATAATAAAACCTAGGAAATAGATAAACTGGTACTGTCTATATATATTTGCTACTTTATAGATTATTGATTAATTTAATCTGATAAAATGTAAATATGAACGTTAATTAATCCAGTCTTCTTTCCTTCTTCGTGTCTTGTCATATACTTTTAGAGAGAGAGAAGAAACAACTGCATTTATAAATCTCACTCTCTTTCTTATTTCTATCACTAAACGAAAAGATCTCTTGACTATCTCATTCTCTCTCTATCTCCGTGGGACTCTGATTTGAAAACCAGAGAGAGCATTTGGATCCCGAGAACTCTGGCACTCTCTCTCTCTCTCTACAAATCTGCATTATTATAAGCTCTCACTTGCTGGCCACTCTCTCTCTCTCTCTCTCTAATTTTTGTCCGCATCTGTGTGTATACATTGCATTTGGATCCTGAGGATTTTTGGATGTGTTGGTGACGGAGAATCGAGGGATCATTCAGATCGGAGATGTCGGATGTTTCCGCTGACGGAGGTTTGTCGGCGTCGTCGGCTGAGACGCCTGCGGTTCCAGCGCCGTATCCGTATCCGTCGCTGACGGTGTCGGCGTCTTACAAGGAGAGCAGCGGCGGAGGAGGGAAAAGTTCGTCGAGGAGGAGACCGATAAGGCCTAGCTTCGACGCTGCCGCCGACAATGAGTTCATCACTCTGCTCCATGGCTCGGATCCAGTGAAGGTGGAGCTTAATCGGCTTGAGAATGAAGTTCGAGGTGCGAAAATGCCTGCTCCATCTAGTGGCTTTTGTGTCGATTCAGATCTAATTTTGGTATTGGACCTTCTTTTTTTTTTCTTACCTTCTTCAATTTTTTTTTTCTTTTCTCAGATAAGGATCGAGAATTAAGCGAAGCACACGCCGAGATTAAAGCGTTGAGGCTATCTGAGAGACAAAGAGAGAAAGCTGTTGAGGAGGTTCGTTGACTTTCTGATTTTTTCTATTTCTGGATTTGGATTGTTTAAAATTTTTGGAAGATTCAGGATATTTAAGCTTATGGCAATGTTGTTAGAGAAGGTTCAGTTCATGAATCATCACTTGCTTTTAGTTTTTTTTTCATCAATGGCTATTATCATGTCTAAGTTCTTTGAGACTCTGTGAAAACTGATGAGCTTCAAGCTCCTTTCTGTGATTCTCGTATGCTGACTTTTCACTCGTGTTCTTATGGATTTTCTAGCTTACCGATGAGCTAACTAAGCTGGAGGCGAAGCTCAAGTTGACTGAATCGCTTCTCGAGAGCAAAGTATTTATCGAAATCCCTCGTTTAAGATCACTTCTTTGTTTTCTTTTTATAATCATTCTGCTGGACATCTGATTTAAAAACAATTACGTTGCAGAATCTAGAAATCAAGAAGATCAATGAAGAGAAGAAAGCCTCCATGGCTGCTCAGTTTGCTGCTGAAGCCACCTTAAGAAGGGTCCATGCTGCTCAAAAAGATGATGACATGCCTCCGATTGAAGCCATTCTAGCTCCATTAGAAGCTGAGCTTAAGCTTGCACGCTCCGAGGTATTTTTTCCCGCTCATTTTAAGTCCAATTTCGTGCTGTCTACTTGCATTATCGGACATTTGATTGATCATTTACGATGTTTCTTGATAGATTGGGAAGCTTCAAGAAGATAACAGAGCCTTGGATCGTCTCACTAAATCAAAAGAAGCGGCTTTACTTGATGCTGAGAGGACTGTTCAAACTGCACTTGCAAAAGCTGCTTTAGTTGATGATCTTCAGAATAAGAACCAAGAGTTGATGAAACAAATTGAAATCTGTCAGGTGCTTTACTCATGATCACTCTTCTTTGTAACAAGTTGATCAGGCTTTGGATGCCTTGTTAACCATCTTGCATTGTTTGATTTGTTTCTCAACTTTAGGAAGAAAACAAGATTCTAGACAGAATGCACAGGCAAAAGGTCGCTGAGGTGGAAAAGCTTACCCAGACTGTGCGAGAGCTTGAAGAGGCTGTTCTTGCTGGTGGTGCTGCTGCGAATGCCGTGAGGGATTACCAGCGGAAGTTTCAAGAGATGAATGTAAGATGAACGAAAAAAAAAGAATAGAATCTTTGGTTTTTTTTTTGTTAGTGAAATTTCCAGCTGATGAAGGAACATTTCTTGCTCTGCTTTTCCAGGAAGAAAGAAAAACTCTTGACCGAGAACTTGCGCGTGCAAAGGTTACAGCAAACAGAGTTGCGACTGTGGTTGCAAATGAGTGGAAAGATGGTAATGATAAAGTGATGCCTGTGAAGCAATGGCTTGAAGAAAGAAGGTTTCTACAGGTTCACTTTGATATATGATTGTTCTTCTCCAAAATTCTTGGAATGTGAATTCGTTGCAGTGACAAAGGCACGGAGCAACTTTACATTCTCAACTCTCTTCTTGCAGGGAGAAATGCAGCAGCTCCGCGATAAGCTTGCTATATCAGACCGAGCTGCGAAATCTGAAGCACAGCTAAAAGTATTCATCTAGTTTCATGTATTAGTCATCTTTGAACATTTGATCTTGTTTTAACTGAACTAAAAGTAAACTATATCTTGGTGTAATTTTACAGGACAAGTTTCAACTACGGCTTAAAGTGCTTGAAGAGACGCTGAGAGGGACTTCAAGCAGCAGTGTAAGGAACACACCTGAGGGAAGAAGCATGAGTAATGGACCCTCTCGCAGGCAGTCACTTGGTGGATCTGATAATTTACAAAAGTTTGCATCGAATGGCTTTTTGTCAAAGAAAACTCCAGCTTCTCTGAGAAATTCCTTTACTTCTAACTCCACATCGGTACTGAAGAATGCTAAAGGAACATCAAAGTCGTTTGATGGAGGCACGAGATCACTGGATAGAGGCAAAGCACTCTTGAACGGACCTGGGAACTATTCATTCAACAAGGCTTGTGACGAAGCGAAAGAGCCAGAGTCGCCTGATGCCTGGAAAGATGATTCAGAGGAGAAGCCACCAAGCGAACTCCCTGCGCCAGCAACAACTGAAGACAATGTCCCTGGGGTTTTGTACGATTTACTACAGAAGGAAGTAGTTGCCTTGAGAAAATCTTCGCATGAAAAAGATCAAAGCCTCAAAGACAAGGATGATGCCATAGAGGTAAAGTCTCTGAATACGCCGTATGGAGATTTTCTCAAAAAGACAGTGCTTGTAATGGAAGTTTTGATATGCTTTTTTGTAGATGCTAGCGAAAAAGGTTGAAACTTTGACAAAAGCAATGGAGGTTGAAGCAAAGAAGATGAGAAGGGAAGTAGCTGCGATGGAGAAAGAGGTTGCTGCTATGCGTGTGGATAAAGATCAAGATCACAGAGCTAAAAGGTCTTCAAACACCAAGAACCCATCCAACACTGCCCAGATTCTTGCTGGAAGGTATATTATAAATCTATAGCAAAAGCGTATCACATGTTACCATCTCTACAATCTATTACCATTATATAAAATTCAGACTAAACTTGTTCCTCTGAATCTGTTGCAGAGCTACTGGACGAAGTGGGTTAACGAGGAGCACACAATGAGACGAGGGAGGAGACTGGTTTCTCGTGGTCGTATCAGTTTTTAAACTTATATCTTCTTATTTCACTTGCTTTTTCTTTACATCCTCTTGTGATTTATTGTATTACCATAGAAACTCATCAGAATGCTATGGTACAAACCACAAAAAGAAAAAAAAAGAAAAAGAGAGATGAGTATGCTTTTCTGACTTAGATCTGCTTAGCGATGATGATAACGGAAAAAAAAAAGGGAGGAGGGAGAGATATGTTTGATATTTTGGTATAACATTTTCAATCCTACGGAAGTAGTTCGTCTCGCTCTGTATAGAGGTTTTTAAAGATTTGTATTGGAGTTTGTCTACTTACACTTCTTCTGTTTCATAATTCTGCTTTGAGGTGTTGTGTGATTATTTTCATTATTCAGACTTCATACAGCAAAAATCTTTTAACATTACATGAATATCTACAAACTTACAACGATCACTAATTTTACTACTACATGTACAGACTCATTTAGCTGTGAGTGTAACAGATACTACAAAACAACAGACCAAAATGAAGAAAGGCACAAGAAGAGAAAAGCTTACGTGTCCGAATCCTGACGGCTAGCTAAGCAGAGTTCATGTAACTCATTAAGTATCCATTCCTCACCAGTGTGACCACCAAGAACTAACACTCTAGTCCCTCCAACAACACATGTGCTATGTCCCCAAGCAAACTTCGGCGGCTTCCCCGGAACATTCAGTATCCTCCACGACGGTTTCTCCTCCGAGGGATCTATAAGGAACAGCTGCGAAGGAGAGTGAAGCCCTGCGATAGACCCTCCGAAGATGATGACTCGACCACACGGCATGCTCACAGCGACGTGGTCCAGCCTCGGAGGCGGTACGACCGCGCCTGTAAACGCGCTACACTCGAGCTCTCTCCATCTCGGTTTCTCGTCTTCCAAGTCTATAGTGTATGCTTCCCCTGACCTTAGCTTTAAATGACCACTATTCGCAAGCCCACCAAACATTAAGATCTTAGTCCGACCAAAGACCGATAGAGAATGTCCAAGCCTACAAGGAGGAGCCCATGACGTCGGGATCTCTCTCCATTTCGGTTTATCCGTCGTTAGATCCAGCAAGAATGTGTCGCTGAGAAGCACACCAGCGTCTGTGCAGCCACCTGAGACAACAAGTTTAGATCCCTCGATGGTGCAAGAGCTGTGCCAAGATCTTGGCAATGGAGGTGTTCCTCCTGCTACTTCTTTCCATGTGGGATGCTTTGCGTCTAGATCAAGCACAAACACATCATTAAGCAACCCTTCTCTTCCACACCCTCCAAAGACAACCAACCACGACCCGTTAAGGCACGAGAGAGTGTGTCCCCAACGTCCTGGAGGAGATGACTTCACCCTCACGCGTTGCCACTCGGGAAACTCCGAATCGAGGTTGAGAACGAAAGTATCATCCAAAGGCTGCATGTTGACACCTTCACCACCAAACAGAACGAGCCTGTTCCCAACGGCACACGCGCTGAAATTGCAGCGGGAAGGTTGCACAATCCCTCCAACGGTGAACTTGCGCCAACACACAGCTTCAAGAGTTGTGAGCTCTCTTGCTAACCGGCCCCATCCTAGCTTCTTGGTCATGATCTCCAATTTTCCGGTTATCTCTTTCCCCCACGCGTTCTGACACACCATCTTCCTCACGCTCTCGTTCTTCGTCAGCTGTCTCATCCTCCTGCAGGCAGAACCGATGGAAGCAACGTCCCTTGGAGTTAACCGGAACAAGATGTTATGCGCCAAGACTTCATCAGAGAGATTCAATATCCCACAGACATCTTGATGATCTTCCTTGAACCTCGGGCTTCCACTTGGAACCAAACACTCAGAGGTCTGATCGATTTGTTGTTTGAAGACAGGGTATGAGACACGGTCTAGGTCTATAGTCGTTTCGGAGAAGACCTGGATACCAATTACATGAGTAATGGTTCCATCGTCGTCGCGTATTGGGGCTAGCCTTAGTCTGTTAACTAACGGTGTACCGTCTTTTCTGAAATTGAGAAGCTCTCCTTGGAACTCGATACCTTCTTGAAGACATCTCCTCATCTCAGACACAACCACAGGATCTACCAATGGGTGACGCCTTTGAGCACGAGGGTCTCTGTACTGTAGGAATCGACTGAAACCAAGAAAAAAAAAGAAGAGAGCTTCTTGTTAAGTAACGAAGTTGCATATTCGTAGAGATCAAAGAAGTGTTTTACTAAGTATTACATAAGCTCACATAAACCATTTTCAACATAATTGTAACTTGTTCATAAACAATATGTATCACTAACATTACTTTCTCCATCTAAATTAATTCAAAAAAAACAAAATTCATCAATCAAGCTTCCATTCACGAAATCAAACAAAAATATATGGCAGATTCAACAAATACACACGAAATGAGTACAAAATTTGACTACTTCAAGCTCCAAATGCACATTTTTTCAAAAGATTTAATAACAGAGGACAGAAATTCAAAATTCGACGAAAACCCAAAAAAAGAAGAAGAAACAATTCGACGAAAGTCGGAGTTAATACCAGTTTCGACCAAGAACTTCATCGGCTCGATAACCTGTGAAGACCTCGAAGACTCTGTTCACGTAGATCAGAGGAAAATCTGGCTCCAGAGCATCGGAGACGATAAACGAAGGCGGCGTCATTGGGTAATAGAACATTCCAACTTCTAATGGAAGCTTCTCGTCTCCTACATCTTCTTCTTCTACTTCCTTTCCGATTCCATCGCCGATGTATACTTCTTCTTCTTCTTCAACTCTGTTCCGTTTCTTTCGCTTTCCGATCGCTTCATTCGCATGTTCTCTCGCCATTTTCGAATTCCGAAAAATATCTTCTCTCTGTCACGCTGCGCCTTATGATATTTTAGTTTTCTTTCGGTGTCCGTTTAAACTTTATTAAATATCTCCTCAGTGATTCATTGACGAAAATACCCTTGAAAATCTACTGTGGAAGGCGATGTTTAGTCAGCGAAAGAAGTGGTATTATCGTAAATAAAAGTAGATAGATGGGGTAATGATAAACATTGTAAAGTCTACGCCTATTCGATGACGACACGTCACCAGAAGATGTCCCTGATAAAATATCTAACCTACTGCGCCACTCCGCTTCTTCCACGTCATCATATTTCCTGAGAAAGATATTTTATTTTGTGTTATTTGTTTTTTGGTTGAAGGGAAGATATTTTGTGAAAGTGTTGTAATGCAATTGGAATCAGATTCACTTTAACGGCTGACTCCGGTCAGATCAAAGATATTTTGTGAAATATCTTTACTTACTAGTACTTACCGATAGAGACCAGACCATATATGTAAGTGTGGTAAGGAAAATTATCTTTAATATTTTTACTGTCGAGAGAAATCAAACCTAAAGCCCCCATATACAAATATACAAGTGCAAGGAAACTATTAGATTATTATATATAATAGATTTAATTTACACCCAAAAATTTTAACTATTTCAATTGTGGTCCATATTCATAGATTTAAAATTCTGAGCATGAGAGATATATTAAAATGTCCCATATTGATAGTTTGGTTGAATTATAGACAAGATATAATGTGAGGCAATTTTCCACTTTTGAGTTAGCTTTTGGGTGTGAGTTAAACTTATTACTTATATGATATCAGAGCCCAAAGGTTCTAACTATTTCTATTGTGGCATATACTTATAATTTCACGTTTCAGATTTAGAATTCTAAGCAGGAGGGAAATGTATTGGAATGTCTCACATCGATAGTTTAGTTGAATTGTGGATAATACTCCCTTTGTTTCATAAAAAAATGTCATTTTAGAGTTTTGTTTTTGTTTCACAAAGAGTGTCGTTTTAGGTTTCCAATGCAAATTTATAATCAAATATCCAGTTTTAATCTTGTTATATTAGTGTATTAATTAAAAAGAGAAAATTGTTTAATGTATTTATAAGGGATAAAAAAAGACTTGTTGTTAACTTTTTTAATTTGTGTGAAAAATGTCAAAATGACACTTATTTTAAAACAGAGAGAGTATATATAGTGTGTGGTAACTTTCCACTCTTGAATTAGTTTGTGGGTGTGAGTTAGACCCACTACTAATAATTAATATTGTTCGACATACATATCTATGGTAATTAAGGAGATAAAACCCGAACATGTTAGAGTCCAAAACGATTCAAAAATTAAGGTTACAGTATTAAAAATTGTGTCTTATATATATATATATAAAATATCCGTTTAAATATTGGTTTTGATATTTTGCACCCAAATTTTGAAAATACTTAACTATTCTATCATATCTTTACAGATACATGTAGCTTTTGAAATTATGTTCTATATCATTAATTTTGATTAAGGCTCAGTCGTGAGAGAGAGAAGATAATGTTGTATATCATTAATTTTGATTAATATTGATAGGTATTTGTGATGGAGCAAATGTAGCCCATCACATACCATGAGATGGAGCTATTAGACACTCTATTATAATTTAGATGAGATGGAGCAAGTGTAGCCCACCAGAGTATTACAAAATGCATAGGCCCACATGAATTGTAAGCTAAGGGCTAAATTATACAACAAAAATTGAACAAAACGTTTTTACTGTTAAGAGATAACATTTTGTCTCTAAATATTAGAATGCTTATCCATTTAAGTTTTGTCTTTAAACATTGTATATCTCTCTCTCCTTTACTATATAAACCCCTCGCAATGTTTTGTAACAAAGACATAAGATCATTACTTCAATAAGACATTCTCTCTCTTCACACTCACATCTCACATCTCACATCTCACATCTCGTTCACTTTATTTTAAATACAAATCACTTATAATATTATAATATATATATATACATATCAAATACATATCACATCACATATAATAAATAGTTTATAACACGTTATCAGCACGAGCGTCTCTTAATCTATATCCTGAAGTCAGATTTACATTCGCAAGGTAAAAATTTATTTTAATTTAATTTAATTTTAAATTTTATTATTTATGGAAAGATAGGCTATGCCTTCTCCGTTTATATGTTATGCCGGGATGGTAGGCTCTGCTTCCTCCGAGCAGATCCTTATGGTAGGCTATGCCTTCACGATCTAAATGATCACATGGTAGACTATGTCTCCTCTGATCATTGAGTGGGAGATTAAAACCCCCATCTTTATTTATTTGTTTATTCATTTAATTAATTAATTTATTTATTGTGTGAGTGATTAAAACTCCCCATCTTTGTTCATTTATTTATTTATGCAATCATCAATTATATGGTAGGCTCTGCCTCCTCATATTGCTTTTAATTATTATCTTTTATTATGCCGTTACTATGCTCAAATTTTTAATCTAACAAATTAAGCTTTTGTTATTGAGTAATAATTTGTCAAAGCTCGAGATCGCCACCCTTGACTTGTGTGGAAAGAATTATATGTCTTGGGCGGTAGGTGCAAAGTTACATCTAAAGAGAAATGATCTCTTGAGCACTATCGATATGTCGGAAACGATATTCGATGAAATAAGGCAAATATCATGATCTTTTTACGCCACCATATCCATGATGGTTTAAATGGTAAATTCATCACGAGTAAAGATCCTGAAGATCTTGGAAAGTAAGTGGTTGAATCTCTAGATGAGAAAATTCACCCAAAGCTCGGAGTTGATGTAAATTCTCCTGATAGCTTAATATAATAAACTCGTGATGAGAAACCATCAGTTTTGTCCAACTAAATTAACTCCATTCCTAGGAGAGAATGTTGAGTAATCCACTTACAGCAAGTGTGATGGACAAATTTAATGAAAGAAAAGGATGATGGTTAGGACGTTGAAAGACAAAAGCTTAATGGTTTTGATGTATTATATGCTTTTGCTTTAAATGTTTTTGCTGTAGGTTCTATTGTACCATAAGCTGTATTGCCAGGTATGTGTTTAATATTTATTAATACATCTTTTATGAATATTTTAAATTCAGAAAATGCCAGAATTTGAGACTATGGATGGAGAAATATGTCTGGCAGACAGTGCTACAACGCACACGATTATTAAAGATAAAAAGTATTTCTCCAGTCTCAAAATAAGTGATTCCGCTGAAAGCGTGAATACGATATCTGGTAATGCAAAAATTATCATGGGCTCCGGAAAAGTCAGTTTTTCAATGTCAAGGGGAACAAAGTTTGAGATAAATGATGCATTATACTCCCCAAAGTCTTACAGAAACTTATTAAGTTTCAAAGATATCCGCGGAAATGGATATCATATAGAGACTATGAATAAGAATGGCGTTGAATATCTTTGCATTTCATCAGAGAGGAAACATATATTGGAAGAATTGAAAATGTTATCCTCTGGATTATATTGCACAAAAATAAGTATGACTGAATCATATGTTACAGTAAACCAGAAGTTTACTAGTACATTTAAGGTTTGGCATGAAAGGTTAGGCCATCCTGGTTCAGTCATGATGAGAAAAATTGTGCAAAATTCTAATGGCCATCTATTGAAAAACGGAAAAATATTACAAATGGGCGAGTTTTTATGTAATGCTTGTTCTCAAGGAAAACTCGTAACTCGGCCATCACCAGCCAAAGTTGGAAATGAATCACCAGAATTTTTGGAAAGAATACATGGTGATATATGTGGGCCGATCCACCCACAATACGGGCCGTTTAAATATTTTATGGTTTTGATTGACGCATCTAGTAGATGGTCACATGTGTGTCTATTGACCACACGAAATACGGCTTTCGCTAAATTCATTACCCAAATAATCAGGTTGAGAGCGCAATTCCTTGATTATGTTATAAAGAAAGTAAGGCTGGATAACGCTGGTGAATTCACTTCACAAGTGTTTAATGATTATTGTATGTCATTGGGAATCGATGTTGAGCATCCGGTTCCGCATGTTCATACACAAAATGGCATGGCTGAGTCATTAATTAAACGGTTGCAATGGATTGCAAGGCCGTTGATATTGAGAACAAGGCTCCCAATTAATGTATGGGGACATGCTATTTTGCATGCAGCGGCCCTGATCCAGATACGGCCAAGTGCATATAATGAGTATTCTCCATTACAATTGGTATATGGACAGGAGCCAAATATATCCCATCTTCGTGTGTTTGGGTGTGCGGTCTATGTCCCTATAGCGCCACCCCAAAGAACAAAAATGGGACCACAAAGAAGATTGAGAATATACATCGGTTATACGTCACCGAGTATAATCAGGTATCTTGAACCAGTAATTGGTGATATGTTTATAGCCCGTTTGGCCGATTGCCATTTTAATGAAGATGAATTCCCCGCGTTAGGGGGAGGATTGAGAGAATTACCAAAAGATATCACTTGGTGTACAAAATCTTTGGCTTATCTTGATCCTCCTACCAATCAACGTGAGATGGAAGTTCAGAAAATTATACATATGCAAAATATAGCAAACCAGTTACCAGATGCGTTCACAGATACAAAGAGGGTGACAAAATTATATATCCCCGCAGCAAATGTTCCATCCAGAATTAGTGTTCCTGAAGAACACATTGATGGGAACATATCAAATGAACCTAGGGTTCAGTTAAAGAGGGGGAGACCGATGGGTTCTAAAGATAAAATTCCCCGAAAGAAAAAGAATATGGGAGAAGAAAGTAAAAAGGTTCTAGAGGAACCATTTAAAGAAAAATGTCCTGAAGACATTTATGAAAAGGTTCTAGAAGAACCAGATAAAGAGATTCGTCTTGGAGACGAATGTGAAACAGAAAAATATGAGATTTCCATCAATTACGCCCAAAATAGAGAATTATGGATCAGAGATAAGATAAAAGATATTGATGGAATATTCTCATTTTCTGTATA